TACTAATAAATGCTTTAAAAGTTAGTTAAATTTTTTTATAGTTTAAATAATTTTTAAAGTTAACAAATTGAACCTTAAAGCGTTATACAACTAAATTTTTATACACTTTTGATTGCAAATGAAAAATTCTATTTTGAATCATAGATTTTATCTGTGAACTTTTGAATCGCACCGTATATAACACATTTTCCAAAGGAGGTTATTGTTCAGGATGGGTAGATTTCCTTAATCGGTGAATGATCATAAATACAGAGTGCAGATCACATATATAGAGCACAAATAAGACAAGTCCACTCTTTCCTGTTTCAGTTCTGTTGCCAACCTGTTGGAGGCAGCAACGTTTGTGTTTCTACAATAACTTCTGCTCTCTGTCTCTGTCTTCTCTCAAACACTTCTTTGCTTTTGCCTGTTCATTTGACATTTTTCACATGCTCATTCTCTTGTGTTTCTACACCTTTTTCCTGAACAGTGAGAAAGACATGGCTAAACAGGCACGAAATTTGAACACGGCTGCAGGAAAACTCCTTTTTTGCATAACATAGATGACTAGGGTGTTTATTTTATTACTGAGTTTCAGATCCATTGCCGTTATTCTGTCTTTAAACCGGACTGAAAACTACAGATCTTGCTTCTGTGTCGCCCCCCAGCCTCATCTTTCAATATTGTACACCTGATCCAGTGCTCCTGTCTCTAGTCTTCTTCTGTATGTTTTAGCCAAAGTAAAAATGCAGCTGTTTTGGCATCTTAGAACAAAGATGGCAGACATGTACATTTTAAGTAATGGAAATGCATCTCTCTTATATCTTTACTTCTCAATACTGAAAAAATACTTCTCAAACCATAACCCAGTTCGGTACAGCACGGGGAAACATTCCTAACAAAATTGTACAATCGTTTTATACTCTATAAAAGTATGCAACACCATATTATTCAGTTAATTTTGGTTAAAAGTCTTTGACCTGAATATTAGACCAACCTGCTTAAGTTTCATGATGTTGAGTGCTTTGATGGATGCCCAAGCTGACAAACAGAGTGTTTATTTCAGGCTTATTCAGGAGGTTATGTTAGCTTTTTTTGGAAGAAATGCTGTTGAGTGCTAGATGGTGTGCCTCGATTATTTTACAGCTTATTGTAAAATTAATTGAAATCTGAATTTGATGCAGTGGTAGTTGATGCCAAATGTCAAAGTTTTGGAAAGATATTTGTGACGCCAAGCTTTACGGATTCTGCAAAAAGTCTGGATGATAAAATCCTCTAAATTGTGAACGGACTGAAGTGTATGTAGACATAATTTAGATGTGAAATGTAGTACAAACATAGCTTAATAAAAAAAAAAATTCAGACACTTGTCAGACTACTTTGCCTTCTTGAGCTTTCACAGTTTCTGCTCTAGCCACATGCTTCCTCCTGTCCTCTCGTGGTCTTTTAAGTTCCTCCCTTTGTTCTTCTTTATGCTTTTATTATTCGATTCATCTTCATTTCCCATGGCTTTTAGTTTTCATTTCACCTCATTAAGTTAATGTGGCCCAAATTCAGATGTAAGAGGGCGGAGCGAGAGCGGGACCTGGCTGATGAGGCCAACCGACTCTTCAAGCAGGAGTTTGGAGACAAGATTGAGAGTCTGCAGGACGAGGTGGAGCAGTTACGGAGACAGAGGTACCGAGATTTACTTACTGTTGTCTACTAGTCAACCAATATATTTTGTTTCAGTGAAGCAGAGGTTATACATATATTATTATTTAGTGGTAACATTTTATAGAAAGATACAGTTTTTAATTAGTTAATTCGGCATTAAGCATCATGAACTAACAATGAATCATCCAGGTTAATATTAGTGTGCATATACACCACTGTTCAAAAGTTTGGGATCAGTAAGTAATTTTTTTTTTAAGAAATATTTTTATTCAGCAGGGATGCATTCATTTTGATTCCATTTTGTCAAAATTGTTTACAAAATTTTTTTTTAAAGGGGTCATATGCGATTTAAATTTTTCCTTTCTCTTTGGAGTGTTACAAGCTCTTGGTGCATAAAGAAGATCGGTAAAGTTGCAAAGACTAAAGTCTCAAATCCAGAGAGATATTCTTTATAAAAGTTAAGAGTCAACCACGCCTACCTAAAATGGCTCGTTCTAACACGCCCCCACATATCTACGTCACGATGTGGGAAGATTTGCATAACGCCGCCCAAATGTTCATGCCAAGAATGAAGGCGTAACTTTTATTCTCGCTGTTGCCGCCAGAAACAATAATGTACATTATGTGGAAAATAATGTTTTTTTTAACCTTAAACCGCATAAACACATCATCAACATCATATGACCCCTTTAAATAAATGCTGTTCTTTACAACTTTCAATTAATCAAAGAATCCTGAAAAATAATGTCTTATGGTTTCAACACTAATAATAATAAGAAATGTTTCTTGAGCAGCAAATCAGCATATTAGAATGATTTCTGAAGGATCATCTGACACTGAAGACTGGAGTAATGATTGCTGAAAATTCAGCTTTGCCATCACAGGAATAAATTACATTTTAAAATACATAAAATGGAAATATAAAACAGGTTGTTTTAACTTGTAAAAAATATTTCACAATATTATTGTTTTACTGAATATATTTATATAAAAATTATAGAAATTATATAAAAATATATTAATATTATAAATTATTAGATTAAGCTAGATTAATAAATGCTTTAAAAAATTGTGTAAACTAACATAACGTTATTGTAAGTTTTACAGGTCAGTTATAACAAATGTGATTAACATAAATTAATAAAAATAAATGTAGTCTAAACTTTGTCACTGATCTTGTCACATCTTTAGCATGGCTTTTTTGAACCCTGAATAAAGCACAAAAGTTAGTTGTCATGGTGATTGAATCAGATGATTTCACAGTCACATTGTGAAAATGACAAACACAGTTTAATGAAAGTGATATGTTGTAAAGCCCTTGTCTTTCTTGATATGATAGATGGCTTTTGGACCAAGAGCTCAGGAAATGGAGAGAACCGCATCCTGGAGGACACATGTCTGAAGCTCTTTTAGGAAAAACGCCGCCTCAAAGAGACATGAGACAGCATGTGGAGGACATTGGAAGGGTGAGACCTGCTTTCCACTTTAGTGTCATTCAGTTGCTATCGCTATATGTAGAGTGTGCTGTTCTCTGAAATTCAGGATTGTGTTTTTTATATAGGAGTTAGATTCTGTCAAAAAAGAAAACGGTACATTGCGTACTGCACTTGAGGAAAAGTCAAGTCTAAGTTCCAGTTTGTAAGTCTATCTTAAATGCTGGACCAGTTACATACAACTCTATTTATCTACTGCAGTGTTATTAAAATTAAACTAAAACTGTATTTTTCTCAGGTCGCTGTCACATGAAGATGAACAGGTACTATACATTTAATCACTAATTTTTATTTTTTAATCCGAGGTTCCCTGCAATAATTTCTTATTTTATATTCATACATTTCTCTCTTACTTGATAGGACCAGTCTCTTTGTAAAGACGTTGTCCCTTCCATCTGCCCAATGTGTGAAAACCAAGACTCTCTGACTACACCCAAGGTACCAAAGCAAAGCCATCCAACATTTAAGCAACAATAAAACTAAATCCTCAATAAACAAATCACTGCTTTTTAAATTATTAAACTACACAACCATTCAAAAGTTTGAGGTTTGTAACATTTATAATGTTACAAACGATTGTTTCGAATAAATGCTGTTCTTATGAACTTCGTTCATCAAAAAATCCTGAAAAATTGTAAGTTTTCAACTGATAAAAAATAAATGTTTCTTGAGCACCAAATCAGCATATTAGAATGATTTCTGAAGGATCATGTGACACTGAAGACTGGAGTAATGGAATAACTTACACTTTAAAATATATTTAAATGGACAAGTTTACATTTATTTTTAATCAAATATATGCACATACATTACAAATACAAAAACTTTGAATGGTACTGTATATATTCTTGCTTATGATCACACGTTTTTCCTCAGTGACTAAAGTACAGCATACAGTATGATACATATTAAGCACTGTTGCTAACATTTACATTTTACGGAACATGATCTTTAGCAATAGAACTATGGAGTAGAACGCTCTTACAAGTACATTAGAGGTGTGTATAGACTGTCTTTTTAACCATTTCAGAGGCAATGCAAGAACTGCAGTGGCGTGTTCTGTGAGAACTGCATGGCAAATGAACTCCCTCTGCCCTCCTCCATCAACCCTGAACACGTGTGTGACGTCTGCTATTCTCAGTTAATGCAGCAGTACGCGTCCTCCCCATCCTGAGGGGGCGCTCATCTCTGAGCAGACTATTCTGGCAGTAGCTTCAACGGGTTATCCATGAAAAATTACACATCACATTTTAGATCATCAATCAGTATCAGGCATCTCAGTTTAGCAACATATCTGTTATTTTGTTAGTATATAACATTTGCCAAAAAGGGATGATTTTTACAAGCTCTTTGTTGGAAATGCTTTAAAGATTTTCGTGATTTCATATAATTCTTGAGGATGAGTGAAGCTGTCCACCAAGTGGATTTATGAGGTTCTAGTACTTGAATTGTATCCGTGCCATTCAATATTGCAAGCAGGATGATACAATAACATAAGTCACAAATTAATAATATATAAAAAAAAAGACTTGGATGATGGATTGTAGACAGGATAGTGTCAGCTTTTTGAAAACTATGACACTAAACAAGGCACATACACTTAACATTTTAAACTTTTGAGTCAAATTCATAAATTGTGCAAAAAAAGATACAGTTCAGACAAACTGCATATTATGGAGCTTGTCACAGAGAAGACCATAACTCGACACTGAAAGTATGTAGAGATAAAAAGGTAGTTTTATGCCTGTGTAATGTATTTTATTCTTATTAGCTGAACAATAAAATTTTATTTTAATTGTGATTTCTCAGTTTAAGTCATTTTATACATACATGCATGAGCAAACATTTATGGCAGAATTAAAGCTTGGTGGAAGACAGGAATTGTTTGGCATGTCTGGGTGCTACAGGGATAAACAGCACTTATTTCTATCTGTATCTGTATCAAGGCTTTCCCAAAGTTACAAGTAAAGCAATGCAATAGTTACTTTTTTATAAACTTTGCACACTTCCTCTACATATGACTGTTTTGTTAACATTGCGTTGATCTGAAATGAATATCCAAAAATAACACACAACAGGCGATATTTGTAAAGTTGTCTTTTCATGTTGGTTCTATGTATTCTTGTAATATACACTGAATTACTTTCATTAAATAGACTGGGCTGCAATGCATTAAGACAGTTTAAATAGTTTACTTTCAACTTATTGTTCCTCCCTTGATGCTGATGAATTCAGGAACAACTCAATATATCGCTTCACTGGACAACGGGGAAAAAAAACAAACAAAAAAGCAAAATTAATCATCATGTTTGTATTTAACATTTTGGACCACATTTGGGTTATTTCAGATGAACACATATTGCTTACTTATATACTCTCTGTCTTTGGACATGGCTAAAACGGCATCTTGATGTGTTCTGAAGTAGGCATCTGCCTCACCGGTGGGTTGTCCGTCTGGACCGTACTCTACAAGAACCTTCACCAGTCTGATGGGAGTGAAAAACTGGAACAGAAATGACACCTCAGTCATTCAGTGTAGATTATATACCGGGCAAGATCAATTTAGGTCTAATTAAGGAGTTATGCCAGTCCTCTTGACCACCTCATTGACAGCGAAGCACACAAATAATCAAAAAAATCATGTTGCATCTTAAATAGGATAAATTCAACATAAAACGTTACCTTTACAATGTCCTCTCCTGTGGCTTCATATGGCAGACCTCTCATGTGAATGAGGTTCTCTGTTGTTGATATAGAGCTACTGTTTGCTGTCCACAAAAATATAGATGTTCAGGACTGCACACAGTATACAACATGTATTAATATTTCAAGCCTGGTTGTAAAGGAACGCTGCAATAAACACCTGTTTTCATTGTGCGTGGCGTGTCCTCAGCTCCTGGTGTGAAAGCTGATGTCTCATTTCGCCCTCTTCCATACTGGACTTGGATCTCATTTTTCCTGCTGGGGAAAATCTCTATATACCTGCATATGAGGGAAAAAAAAACCTTTATGAACACAGATCTGAAATGAGTACATATTTCATTTGAAATCTTTTGGGGCAAGACACCCCAGGTGATGTAACTAAAATAACTAAGAGATACCACCATAATTCCCTACTTGACTTACTTACATTAAGAATTGCAAACATTTTTAGTATAGGTTTTTGTGAAATGGTACGCTTAAATATGCAAGTGATCCATTATCTAATTAATAATAAAATGTTAAATGTATAAAATCAGGCACATGATATATGAAAAAACATACAGATGGGAATAAAGCTAAAGTTTGGTGTAAGTGCTACTGAAGTGGAGAAATGTGAATGGAAAAAATTATTTTGAGAAAACAGCCTTTAAAGATATGTAATGTAATTGAAATCTATACACGCAAATAGATGAATTGCAATAAAATCAGTGGTGGACAAAGTACACAAATCAAGTACTTGAGTAAAAGTACAGATCCGTATAATAAGATATTACTCCAGTAAAAGTAAAAGTACTCAGTTTTCAATTTTACTCGAGTGAAAGTACAAAAGTACTTTTTTTTTTTAAATAATTTGTTACGTACTTAAGTAAAAAGTACCGATAGATGAATGATTATTTTGCAGTTTTATATAGGCTACTTTTATCATTTAATTTTAAATTAGCATATATTTTTTTATAATCCTACTGCTCAAAATACCTGGGATTTTCTCAAAATAACCAATAAGGAAATAATGAATATAATAAGGAAAATATAATTAGATTTTCATAAAGATTTTTTTCTTCTCAAACCTTGTCTGTGGTGTAAAAACACCCCTGGCCAAATGCCCCCCGAGGGCATCACTTCCCACTTTGATAATTACTGTAGTTACCATGTTCTGAACATCACATCCTTTCTTTTTCCCTCAGATGTAATCTAGCTAGGTGGCTGAATAAAAATATTTGGACTTTATTATTTTTTTTAATTACCTCAATTTAGCACCAGCAAGCTCGTTAGCTAGACATTTGGCATCAGCTAACATTATTGACTTATTTTCAGCATGGTTATGAATAAACATTTATATTTGTCTACTCGGCTAGTTGATCCAGATACATAGTAACTTAGGCTATGTGTGCTGACAAACAATATAAAAACAGATGTCACATAGGGCTAAATGCATAGCATTTTAGTAAAACTGTTAACGTTACAGCAGCGGGGAAGATGAACGTGCATGAGTTATTTGATCTAATCTGTGTTATTTTAATGTTTTTTTACCTAAAACATAGAGACTCTGATGTTAATGTGTCTGCATTCAAGCATTTTAGTGGGCTACAGATCACCCTTTACAGCAGATTTAGTTCACAAACAGCATCAGACGCGCGCACGCTCTCAAGATCTCCCAGTTCTTACTTGTGAATTCAGTTCACTGGAGACTCGCACTAAATGGTTAATTTGAATAAGTGAGTTGTCGACTCGAGAACAGCTGCAATCGGATCATTCCAATTCGTGAATGAATCGTTTGGTGCGATTTGCGAACCGATTTAACAGGTCCATTGAAAAGAATCAGTTCGTTCATGAATCAGACACTGCTTCTGCGTCTCGGAGCATGTGATATATTATAAGGAGTAACAATACATTTTATGAAATGTAGTGAAGTAAAAAGTACGATCTTATGCTTTGGAATGTAGTGACGTAAAAGTAAAAGTTACTCAAAATAAAACTACTCCAGTAAAGTACATATACTTGAAAAATGTACTTAAGTACAGTAACGAAGTAAAACTACCCCGTTACTGTCCACCACTGAATAAAATAAGCATGTAAATGTTTTCCCAACTCTGAAACAACACACGATGAAAGGCATTATGGAAGTGCCTTAAAAAAATAAAAACGGTGGTTTCAAACGAAAAACTACAACAGCATTTGTAAATAAAAAAAATAAGAGTACAAGAATAAAGTAATATTTTGAGAATAAAGTCATAGCAATACAAAAATAAAGTCTAAATATTTTGAGAATAAAGTCAAAATTACGAGAATTAAGTCGTAGCAATTACGAGATTAAAGTTATAATATTTTGAGAGTATGGCCTATAATGCACATGCAAATGGCCCGGATTGGGAGCATCGGGAGAAATTCCGGTGGCCTGGCAACTGATTTGAATATATGTGGAATTATTAGCAGAAATTATTCCATGTGTCATTTACTCGCAGGGACAGTATGCTTGGAAATAATATTTCAAGTCTTTGAATGCATTCATTATTTGTTGTGTGCCAGCCACCCAATAATAGCAAAAAGCTTTGTGTTTTTGGTACTTTTAATATAAAACAGTCTCAGCTTTCAAATTCTGTCAGTTTTATAGCAAAATACAAACAATGTGTCTTGAAATAATGCGTTTTTCACACACTCTTTAATGTGGCGCTACAGATCGCTGTATTCGCCTCAGTTTAAGCGTTTTTTTTTTTAAGCTGTTTAAGCATTTGATTCAATCATCTTTACATTACAATGAGACATTCGTTTAATTAAATTATACTGTTTTTTTTCCCCATTCCTTCTGATATTCCTTTACGTTTATATTGTGCTATAAATTGCAATAAAGAGGAAAAACACATTTATAATTTGTATTTCGTGATAAAACTTGACAGAATTTGAAAGCTGAGCGGTGTTATTAAAAGCAACAAAGCACAAAGTTCATTGCGATTACTGGGTGGCTGTGCGCTACAAATAATGAATGGATTTAAAGATGTGAAATGTTATCGTGAAATAGTCGTAAAAAAACACATATATGTTCCAAAAATATATATATTTTGTGTCAAGTATTGAAATACCAACCTGTTTCCCATGACTTCTCTGTCTTTCTTTAGGGCATTTTCAGCAATTCCCTTAGTGGCAAACTGCACGAAGGCATCGCCTGAGTTTCTTCCTCTCCTGTCCAGGACTATTGTAACTCCATCTTCCACAATCTCCAACCCTGTTTTGAGAATTTTAAAACACAAATTAGAGTTGCACAATTAATCGAATTTCTAATCGCGATTACAATTATGGATGCCACAATTATGTAATCGTTCAAAGCGGCAATTAATCGTTCAAAGTCCACTTATGCTATTCTATACATTCTAGGCAATTAATCGTTCAAAGTCCACTTATGCTATTCTGCGTGCTTAAGATGCTTTTTTTTCTTTCTACATGTTATCGCAAGGGTTTTTCCATTGTTTTAATTTTAGTTTTAGTATAACATTATAATACCATTCATATTTTTACTTTTTTATAATTTAAAGAAACCAATCCGATGTATAGTTGACATTTGAGGCTTAATACTATAGAAAAGCACAAAGTTTTTCAGTTAGTGTTTTCAGCTTGTTTATTTTCATATAAAAATACGGCATGCAGTTGCATCAAACAATGGTATAAACATAATTCAATGTAAATTGTGATAATCGTAATGAATAATCGCAATTACAATTTCAAGGGAATAATCGACAATTATGATTTTTGTCATAATCGTGCAGCCCTAACACAGATGAAGCACATGGCTTTTATCAGTGCAATGCCATTCAAATGTCACCTTTTTAAGGATCTGACCAGAGAAAAACTGAATGAGGTCTTTCTCCGTGCAGCTGAAGGGAAGCCCTCTGAGTCGCACCACTTCATCTGACTCTGTAACCTGCTGTGTAGCCTTTAATATGGCTTCAGCATCTTTGTTTGTTACCTCAAACACTGAAACACATGACAGCAGTGTTCACTAAAAATTAGCTCTGTGAAAAACTTTGGCAGGTGATAAACACAAAAATAGTGCTTACCTTCAACAAAGCGCTGTCCCAGGTAATGCTTGTGCAGATCCAATGCTTTGCAAACGTCCTGCTCGTGCTCCAGCTCAATAAACGCCCGTCCCGTCGACCTGCCGTTCCTGTTGTGAATTATATGGATTCCCTCAACTCCACCTCGGATCCTACAATCTACAAAAATCAAATATATAAATAAAATGTGTACTTCACATCATGAGCAGATCATATCAGAACATCTTCAGGAGCTGGAAATCCATACATGTGGTTATTGTTGCTGGAACCCTACAAAGCCTACTGTATCATATTTGATCAAATCATTTCTAAGGCCTCTGAATGATCAGCATTATAGAAACTTTGCTGAAAAATCTGCTACATGCTTTCTGCCATTGATTGAAAGTTTGTACTTTTTAATCAAGTAAAAGGCCTTTTAGTACAATACTAAAAACGTCCACCTTCTGTTTGTGGTACACGTACTTTTCTGATGGAATCTTTAATGATTTTTATAAAGTAAATGTAAAGATAACTTTTATATTATTATTTCAAGGTTAACACTTTCTCAACTGAAGTAACTTTGATAATCCACATATACATTATTATTTTGAAAAATCATATTCAGATCTGAATATCAAGTATGATATATAAGGCTTTTAAACATTTAGCATTGGACTATATGTTTTGCCCGCCAAAATGAACGCTACAGAGCTTTGATAATAAAACTAAGCGTTGACATACATATCTTACTATGACATTATACAGCGTAACAACTTATATTTACATGCATTTAATCTAATAATCCATTAAAGTGTGCCATTATAATTACTAGCTAGTGACATAAAAACATTCGCACCAAATTGCATATTTTCGCTCAGTTTGAGACTCTTAGCAAAAATAAATAAAACTGAAGTGTTTTATAAGTGTGAGCTCCATATCCTCCTATATTCATATATCATGGGCCATACAAGCCTGATGTATCAAATATGATACAAAACATAAAATACACATTCAAACTTTTTTAAAGGTATTCTTTTATATTTTATCTAAAGGTTCAATAAACTCTTCCAAAAGTTAGGTTTTTCTGACTGTTATTTCATATATTAGACATTTGAACATGATCAAGTAGGTGAAGCATGTCTGCAAAAAGACTTTTGAGTAACGTTACCAGAAAAAAAAGTTCATTAAGTCCTCTGCAGTACATGACCAAGGAAAACCCCTGGCCTGGATGATGAACACTTCCTTTGCTTGGGGCTCTTCACAAGGGGTGTATTTTGGTAGTGGTGGGTACTCATCTTCCTTAGATGGTGCCTAAAATATTAAAAGAATAGTGTCTGAAGAAAACAATTAAACAACGTACTGTGTCTGGAACAGTCTTTTCTGGAAAACAGTACCTCAGTAAATAGTCTTCGTTGACACACTGTCCATGGATGCTGGACTTCACGGTCTGCTACACATCTCGCCGAGCATGAATGAACATCTCGACCTCGTGCTACTGTAAACTGCGCAGTTTTAATCTGAGTCCGAGCCTCCACGCATGGAAACTGCTGCTTCCTCCTGATACAGCGAACAAGAGCGCGCTCCTACTGAATGCAGACATCTTGCGCTGTACAAAACTTGCACGAAAACCTAAAGTATTGAGACAGCTTTAAGTTAACGGCATGTTTCGGCTCAGTTGCCCCAAAAATCACGTTGACCTGCGGCATCAGAGGACAACGTGACGCGAACAACACGCGCCTTTCGCCTTGACAGTCCTTTCAAAATAAAAGTTAAATGTAGTTGTAGTTCAAAACAGCAAAACACGTTGTTTGATTTGGAAGCAAATTATTGCAATATTTTCTGAAAATGATTGACTTTTTTTTAGGATGCAAAATATCTTTTGTCTACACAGGCAGTATTAGATATTGTAAAGACATGTTGTTTGTAAAATTACATTTTTGTTTTTTATTATCATTGTACTAAATGTAAAACAAATGATCATAATGTTATTTGGCAAATATACATTTTATAATAAGTTAACAGTTAAAAGTAATTTGTTCTATAGCCCATTTACATTACATTGATTCATTTAGCCGACGCTTTTATCCAAAGCGACCAAAGCGAGGAATTGAGGAGCACGCGATTCATCATAAAGAGGCAAATAGACACAATACAAAGTTTCAAGTTCCGATTAGTACAAGCTAGACAGGGGGTTAAAGAAAGAGAAAGCATTTATTTATTTATTTTTATTTTATTTTATTGTTTTTTATTATTTATTGATGCAGTCAAATGTAGACGAAAGAGATGAGTTTTCAGCTGTCGCTTGAAAATTGTCACAATAAACACTTTTTAAGGCCAATTTAGATCTGTTTATTTTTATTAGGACTAAAAAAAAATTTAACCAACATAATTTTCCTTTCAAAATTTCCCAGTTAACGTCAATTACAGCAATAGATATAGAGTTGGTTAAGAACACAAATATCAGTTGAATTCCCCAAAACGCTCTTATATCCTAATGCTAACGTGACTCTTATTTGAGAAGAAAGTAGATCATGATCTCGCGAGATTTGGGGCTCTGGCGAGACTTTGGATTGGGAAGGAGAACTTTTGCACGGGCAGGATCAGTGTTGTTGTAGTGTTAGGGATTATAAGGCGCAAATTATTTGCTTTTCCACCTTTCAGAATTCAAGATAACGGACTAGTGTCGATTTCTCATCTACAGCGCATTTTATTCAAGGAGAGATGAGCTTTTTATTGTAAGTATGATTGGTTTCTGTAAATGGGAACACTGATGGCTAGTTAGCAAGCGTAGAAATACTGCTTTTGTCCCGAAGCTGCCTGTACATTACCAATCCTGACTCACAGCCGTCATTTATTAGAAGCTAACTGTAATGATATATAAAAAAGCTGATAGAAGCACAGTCTGATCCTGTCGCAGCAGATTAGTATGTGACCATCATAACACAAAACTGTAGTCTGGCTAATGAAGAATAAATACTCAGCCAGTACATGAGGCCATCAACAGCTGCATGATCTTGGGTTTGGTTACTCCTCATTATGACTGTGCTTGGATTCATTGTACAGTAATCTGACTGTGAACACAGCTGTATTTCCCAACATCATGTCATTTATGTAAACGGGAGATGTCGTGTTTTGTGGATAGATTCCAGTAGCTTTTTCTCAAATGTGTCCCTCTATCATAACTCAAAGATGTTAGTGTAATATATAATTTTTATTTAAAAATCCTATTATCATCAATGACTGCTAGTGCTACCTAATAAGTGTTCTGTCGCCATCACAAAACGTACCAAAATGATTTGACATCAAATTAAATCCAGATGTGATCAGCATGTCTGGATAATTCCACTATAATCCCAGTATACTGTATACTGTACTATACATATCCCAGTGTAGTAAGTCACAATACAATACATTTTGCTTTTAAATCTTGATTTGTTGTCAGCTGCAATCTGTGTTGATGTTCACAGGTATTTTTTAAATTATGCCTTTGTCTCTCTCTCTCTCTCTCTCTCTCTCTCTCTCTCTCTCTCTCTCTCTCTCTCTCTCTCTCTCTCTCTCTCTCTCTCTCTCTCTCTCTCTCTCTCTCTCTCTCTCTCTCTCTCTCTCTCTCTCTCTCTCTCTCTCTCTCTCTCTCTCTCTCTATATATATATATATATATATAGGGCTATATTAGGGAGATGCTAACTAGGATTTAAATGTGTTGTGACAGCTAAATTATAGAAACAATTATAATCTTTTGCTGTAAAGTCTCTAGAAGCATAAATATAACAATGTCAGCAATCAAAAGCGTAATGTATTTCTTTATTTTTCTGCTTTCCACTGAAAATGGGAAGTAGGCTGTGCTGCAAACCAGGCTGTATGATTCACAAGATAATTCAGTGAAGCCTCTAAAATGGAATCATGGCTTCAATATTTGTTAAGTTTAATTTGATTTGTGCAAAGAGTGTTTTTCACCATTGTTTTGTTGTTAAAATAGCATAATTATGCCTTCAAAGAGTTTATGCATGCACAC